CTCAGTTCAACAACCATTTCCTCAGACATTCCTAGTCCTAAAATTCTGAATTGTTTTCATAGTCCTAACCACATATTTAGAAGAATTATTTATCTAAATTTGAGAATGATCTTTCATTCTTTTTTTAAAGGTAAATTTATTTATTTTACATCCTGGCCTGAGATTCCCTATTCTCTTCTCCTCTCAGTCCCTCCCCATACCCCTTTCATTTCAACTCCCAATCCATTCTTCTTATGTTTAGGAAAGGCCACTTCTCATGGAAATCAACAAAACATGGCATATCCAATTTCAGTAAGACTAGGCACCTCCCATGTATCAGGGCTGGACTAGGCAACCCAGAATGAGGAGTAGGATCCCCAAAACCAGTAAAAGAATCAGAAACAGCCCCTGTTCCCACTGTTAGTAGTCTCACTAGAAGACCAAGATACACAACTGTCATATGTATGCAGAAATCTTGGGTCAGTCCCATGCAGGCTCCCTGGTTGTCCATTCATTCTCTGTGTGCACAGTTCGAGGAACAAGACAAGTAAGAAGCAAGGGAGGCACCCCTACAGTTAAGGGCCATTTGAAGGGCTATTTCTACAGGTGTGGTGGTTTGAAGAGGAATGCCCAAGAAGGCCCATATATTTCAACGCTTGGTCATTATGAGTGATGTTACTTGATAGGAACTAAGATGTGTGACCTTGGAGTAGGTGTGGCTTTTTTGGAGGAAGTATGTTGCTTAATATGGGCTTTGGGTTATCAAAAGCTCAAACCAAGCCCAGTGCCTCTCTCTTCCTCCTGCCCATGGTTCAGATGCAGAACTTCCAATTACATCTCCAGCAACATATCTGCCTATACCATCCTCTCTATCATGATGATAAATAGACTAAACCTCTGAAATGATAAGCAATCCCCAAACTTAGTTATTTAGAATCTTTATAATTATAATTTTCTTTGTTACTAATAATTTCATACATGTATACTATGAAATATGATCATATTAGTTACCCATTTTCTTCCTTCAACTCCATATTTCCCTAAATTTTTTTCTTTTAAAATTAGTTTTGGTAATCCCTAAGTCAAATTAGTGCTTCCCATATGTGTATAAGTGTGCAGTCACCTAACTGGGACATGGGAAACCTACCTAGAGCCCCAGAAAAACAATGATTCTCTTTATCTCTCCCAGCACGTATCATTTTTTCTTGTAGGCAGGTAGGGAGTTAGAACGAGAAATTTCTCTTATCTTTAATTTTCACTGTCATTAACAAAATAACCACATGGCCTAACCCTCAGGACATCTTATACTCTGGTTCCTTGGGTCAAAGGATTGAAGGAATGGATAAAACTAAATGATAACTCTCAAAGCATCTTTGACATTGCTGAGATGCAAAAATGACAAAGAAACACTAAAAGGAAATGGTAGAAGAGCATTCCTTTGACAAGAACTGACTGTCCATTGATGTGTGCACACAGATCATATTTTCAGTATCTATCCTGGTTGATTCCTGAGGAGCTGTTGGGCATTTTCTTTCATGAATAGAGAGCACATTAATCTACAGGACAGTACTCGGCATCAGCATCTGCAATTCAAATAATTTTCAGAAAGTAAACAGAATCAAAGCACATATACTATCACAAGGCATATCTGGGAAATACATTCTTAAGAGATTTGCAATTATGACTTAATGAAGGATCTAGACTTCAATTTCTAGTGTAGTTTTATTATAATGAAATCTTTAGTTCATATCATCAACATAGAGTAATACAAATAAGGAAATCCACCAACAATATTTGGTAAATACCAATATAAATTACACTTGTAGATTATTCTGATCATAGTTAAATGAATTGCTAATGATTTCAAACATATACATCAAATTTTATGGTGCTATCATTCTTGAATTATCATTGTCAATTCATTTAACACTATAAATTGATTTTAATTATAACCATGATTGAATGGGATTAATTATTCAACAACATAGAAATATTTGTTTTGACAATTGCAAGGAAGTGGTAGGCCGATGTTGGACACATTACCAGGGTCTCTTAAAGTTTTGCATATTTTGCTTGTGTTTCTATTCATTCCTTCCTACTTGAGGGTACATGGCATCAGCACCTATATAAATTCTTTATTTTTCCTGTCTTGTAAGGTGTTGGTTGTATCATCTAATTTACAGTATCTGCTGACATAGGAAATCATAGAGTCTTGTAGAGGAATTGAAAATATATGAACCTAGGTTCAGGAAGCCTGGGCTTGCATTGTTATTCTCCAGCTTGCTATACTATTATTCATTTGCAAAGTGTTCAAGAATTGTAGTAGCTGAAAATATCCTGCCCTTTGGAATATACTATGTGTTGCATGCAATATTGGTAACAAAATTGTGCTATGTTAAACGGTACTACAACATCTCAGTTTTTAAAGTTCAAGGAATGTGGAGTGATGGAGACAAGTAATATTAGGTGAGGGCATTAGTAGGAGGACTTATATATGAAAAACAAATTCTACAATTTTTGAAGGAGGTGTATAATAAAAAAAATTTGATCAATGTCTACATAACATAGAAGAAAATAACTGACAAACTGCCAATATAGATAGGACAGGTTCAAATGCCCTGCTTCTTTGAGAAGCCTTTCAGATACTGTAGGCCTGTAGGCTGAAGATGGATTCCCCAGTGTTGCAAAAGAACTTTGGGTGATTGTCTAGGCAGCCAGATATCTCTGTTATTTATAGAATTTTGGAAGTTGCATACAATGTACTTCTTGTTCACTTAGGTAATATTATATCCTTGATGAAGTTGAAGACTAGATAGTTTAATTATAGTTTTCCCTAGTTATGAAAAAAGATAAACTAGATATGAAACTTCAGACACCCAAAGACAGAATAAATGAAAGACTATTTCCTTTAACTTTGCCAAATAAGAGTACACTAAATATTATAAGTATAATTCTTACTAAATACCTGTTTTGTTACATGTAATTTTACAGTGTTGGAAGTTTAAATGTTCCTTTTTAATTAGACAGAAAGGGGGATATGATTTGGGATGTCCTGTATTCTGTGAACATATGTTGCTTTTATTGGTTGATGAATAAATCTGTTTGGCCTATGGTAGGGCAGAATATAGCTAGGTGGGAAATCCAAGCAGAGAAACAGAGAGAAAGAAGGTAAAGTCAGGGACATTACAGCAGCCGTTGGAGGTGTAAGATTACACAGCATACCGGTAAATCACAGGCCACGTGGTGATACTCAGATTAGTAGAAATGGGTTAATTTAAATGTAAAAGCTAGCTAGTAATAAGCTTGAGCCATCAGGCAAATAATAAGAATTATTATTAAGTCTCTGAGTGATTTTAAGTGGTTGCGGGTCTGGGTGGGACACTGAAGTGTTTGGCTACAATCCCCAAGACGGTCACTAAATCATCTTCATCAGATTCTTAATTTCCAGTGTTGACTGTTTAGAGCCACATTTATTTATAACAGAAAACTATCCAGCTTTACAAAGTGAGAAATTCTGAGGACTGTTACCCACAATTTCTCAGTACTCAATGGCCTCTTTTTGGAAAATAACAATGGTGTATGGGAGTAGAATAACATCTTCTATCTTCCCATGTAATTAGAATACTATTTAAAATGATGGCTACATTGTGTAATTATATCAAAGATCTACTGTACAGTGATCTGGTCAAATTAAAGAATAAAAGATATAAGGACTACAAAATTATATACTGTGTGACCTCTTACAATTATGTACTTTAAAACACAGGAGAACAAAACTAAGAGGCATTCACTACTTAAAGTCATCTTAGTATCTGCAAATCCAGCTGAACTAATACACTTTAATTCTTCTGCTAATATTTAGCCCCTCACAAAAGTAAATGTAATTCAGTTCTAAAATAAGAAAATATATAGGCAAGGATGGGATTCATTTACTTATGAGATTAGATGTTGGAATTCATTTTTAGATATAAAGTACTAAATGCTGTGTCAGTAACTCTGAGCTGAAATTCTTGGGCAAGTAGTGCTACACATTTGAAATATTCTTCTTTTTTAAGAGAAGTCACATAGATTTAGCCTGTTGAGCACCCTTACTCCAAAATGAGAAATCTCAAGTGCCACCCCTGCCTCCGGACTTTTGGAGGATCAACCGATCAACCTACATTAAAAACAGATTAAATTCAATTTTATAATACTGAAAGCAGCAAGACATTGAGGAACAATATCCATGCAAGAAACTTAAAAATATTTCTCTCTGGTAGTATCTTCCTTCTTTTGTTTGTTCTTCATGGTAGCACAAATATATTATCTATGTTTTCTCATGTTCAGCAGAGCATGTATAAAGACAGAGATGAGACGGCAGCAATCACACTAAACAGCATCTCAATAACTTCTACTTTTAATGTACAAACAAAATTTATTCAGTATATGCAAAATCAAAGAAGTATTTCCTCTTCAAATAAAATTTTATTATGAAGTTAAATATAATATAATAACTCAAATGTACTCATAATACTCCCCTGCCTGAAATATTAATTTTTCACTATACATATAACTTTATAATATAGATATCATTTAAAATATTTGTGAAAACCTGTGAGAAACTCAAGAAAAACAATAAAAGGTGTTGAGAAACAGCAGTGTGCTCAAGAGTTAATAGTCTTTCTACAATTGACACCTTCACTTTATTGTTGCAATAATGGGGTAGTGTTGACCTTGCATACCATGTGACCCACTCAAGAACATCAAGGGAAAGAGAAACACCTGTTAGGAAACTACAGCTGATTAAAAGAATTTAGTTCATTTTAATCTGATGAAGTTGATTTTTAAAACAGATTATATTTAAAACTAAATGTCTTCTATAAAGATAATTATACTTAGAATTTATTGTCTCACAAGTTGCATATTATAATGCTATACATTTTTGAAACTCTAATATAGAAAGGATATGTAAAAAAAATATCACCAAGCAGAAGAGAGCAAATAACAAAGCCTTTCCTCTTGTGTATTTAAATGTAGCTCACCTGGTTAGCAATCTGCCGAGCAAGAACATCCATTCTTGATCCTGACTCTGATATCATCTTAGCTGCATAGATTACATCAGTAGTATGCTTTAGTGGTCCTTTTCCCCTGAAAATAAATGATGTGGTTCATTTATAAATAGATATGATGATTATATACATGTCAATATATATACATTTTATTTTATTCTTATTTTCATTTTTAAGGTGTGTGTGTGTACATTTGTGTGTATGCAGATGTTTATATTATAAAGACCAGAAGAGAGCACTGATTATTTTCCCATTGATCTGAAGATGTATGGGCTGTTGTTAGCCATCCCCATGGGGCCTGGGAATTGAACTTGTGTTCTGTACAAAAGTGTGAGCATTCATTAACAACTGAGCCACTTCTCAGCCCTAATGGACATTTATACTCACATAAGTAAAATATTTATGACCCAAAGCATTAGCAATTATGCTTATAAGTTTTGCTGTTGAATAAGCCAAAACTGTATTTAATTCTAGTCTTAAGAAATAAAATTAAAATAGATGACATTAAAATTCAGACAACAATACAAAGATGAATAGCACTGGGCTTTATTCCAAGCTGCTTTTTTATAAGAAGACTCTAATTAGAAATATCTTGGTGGACCCAACAATTTAATGCAAGATATACATTCAACCTTGCATTGTGAAAAGCCAGGTACTTACGATTTTTCTCTTTTGATTCATTATGTACATTTTTCAGCTAGTTGCACTATGTTTTTGATCTCTTCTCTATGATTAGTTCAAATATATGGCTAAGCCTGAGAAATGTGTAATGTAGGACCTTTAGTATTGCAGTATTAATTAAAATGCTTCTCTCTATGGACCCCACAATGTGCTGGTACAGCTCTAAAGAATAGACACTCTGAGTCTAACCTAAGTGACTCCATTTATCCCACAAGCTCTTCAAAGGAAAATGCTGTCAGCTTTGCTGCAATGAATCCAATGCTATTTTTTTTCCCCTCAGACCAAAATGATTTTGAGCCTGAGAACAACTCATCAGGAATTCTGAAAAGGTGTGCTCTCTGTTTCTCTCAAACAATAATCCATCCTTTCTTCTGTATTACAAAGGTGTATTACAAAATCAATTGTTGCACAAAGGTCACACTCTACACCTATATTCAGCAGTAAGAGAAGATGCCAGCTGCAGAGTAGCAGCCTTGCAGCCTCTGTAAGGATTCCCATCATTTGCTCTCAGGTCTCCACTCATAAATTTTATCTTTCATGTAATAAACTGAACATGAATGAAAGAAGGAACTAAGGTAGGAAAGGAATATGTGGTCCCAGCCTTAGAGCATCCTAGGAAGTGAGTGAATCTTGAGAATACCATCTATGTATTCACGCCCATGTGTTTATTTACTCTCATTCTTCTCTAAATCTACCTTTATGCTTTTATATAGATTTTTCCCTCTTAGAGTAAGACAAAAAATAAAACAAACCACAAATACAGTAGTATATCACAGTTTTTTACTACAAACCTGCATGCATGTAATTTGGACTTTTTAAAAAACAAACAACAACAACAAAAATATGTCCTACTTTTTGTTTGCAACAAATCTGTGCCTCCCATCATGTCTTCAGGGATAGGGGTAGCATTCAACCCAGAGAGAATTTCTAAGGATTATCCGAGCCTTTTTCTCCAATGTGCCTTAAACATCATCTTAAATAAAGTAAGTGATGAGTTTGATCCAGGAAAAGGTAGAGGAAAACAGACACTTGTTTGAGCATATTAAGTTAAAGTGAATCGGGCACCTCTAAATTTCTATTGTTTTACTAGCCACATTAGATGTGCACACCTGGACTAGGATTTGAAAGAGAGATGCATCTTTATTTTCTATTATATATAAAAAACAAACTGATGAAAGACTACCTGAGCAGAGGTAGCTGTCCTATACATTCATTTTCCATCCTCCATTGAGCATCAGGACACAGGCTCCCAAGGGTTGCACTTTAGATTTTGACCTTTGTCCCTAGAAGACAAAGCCCTCATGGTGTGACTCACAAGAATGACTATTCTATGATTCTGTAGGAAATGAGGGCAGTGATGAGCAGTGTGAGAGTTAACAGTTAAGATAGGAAGGGCAAGTAAAAAAGGTTTTGATTCATTAGGATGGAGACAGAGGCAGCAGGGTATCTTTGTCTATGTTTTAGTTACCCCTTAACTTGAATGTAATGGTAGAAACAATAGTGAAAAAAACATGACAGATATCAGTTAGAAGATGTGCTAGCCAGTTTTGTTTCAACATGACACAAGCTAGGGTCATCTGGGAAGAAGGAACTCCAGTTGAGAAAATATCTCCATCAAATTAGCCTGAAAGCAAGTCCATAGAGCACATTCTTGGGTAATGATTGATAAGGGAGGTCCTTATCAATGGTGATGCCATTCCTAGGCAGGTGGTTTTTGGCTTGTATAAGAAAACAAACTGAGCAAGTTGTAGAAGCAAGCCAGCAAGTAGGCTTCCTCCATGGCCTATGCTGCAGTTCCTGCCTCCAGGGTCCTATATTTCTTGCGTTCATTCCTTGACTTCTTTCACTGATGGACTGTTATTGGGAAGTGTAAGCCAGATACCTCTTTTCTCTCCAGGTTTCTTTTGATTATGGTCTTTATCACAGAAATATAAAGAAACAAATTTATACAGAATATTGGTTCTATACAGTGATTAAATAGCAGAGTGGCTTCACACTCTGAGAAGTATCCTAAGACTCCTGCACCTGTAAGATGACATCACAATGTGTGTCCCCTGTGTACATACCCCAAAGGCATTTTCATTTTTCCTGCTTCATAGTGTTTTTTGAGTATATTATCAGCAAAATTTCATAGAAAGTGAACCAGGAAAAACTTAAAAATATTAGTGCATGTGACACAATGAGATTCTGGCCTAAGAAATGGTTATCTCCACATGCTTTAACTGATGACATGGGTTTCTTTGTAACTTAAAAGAAAAATCAACATTAATTGTTACAATATTTGAATTCCTCAAATTTGTTTTATGCACCAGGGAGGACTAGAAGTATGTACATGGTTATGTTCAAGGAAAGAATTGCATTTCATTATCTATATTCCTCTCCAGAGAAAGTTAAACTTAAATAAAGCTGTCTTAGCTCCCAAACGACAATGCATCAATTTTCAAGGTCTTGAACAATGGACAAAGGTTGTTTCTAAGCAGAGCAGCTAAGCCTCTTTTAGCTTAAACAATACACAGTAAGATATATCTACAGAATGTATCTAATGGACAATTATCTGCAAAATAAAGTATGCTGCTGTACGGAAATCCTGGGCTAATAAAGGAGAAATTACATCTAGCTCCAAATATAAACCTTGGTATGAGGCCATGATCTGAAAAAGTCACAGTAAGTTTTGATATGTCTTCAAGTAATGATAATACATGATAACAAACCTTGATTACTCCCTTCCTCTCACTCTTAATTAGATGTACTGTCTGGCAAGCTTCAGTCTGAGTGCCAAAGAAAATACACATTTAACAAATGATTCCTTATCATGCCACGCTTCCAGACCATGTTCCAATTACTGAAACTAAGACAAATTTTGAGCATTCTCAGCCTGAAATGTGCTATGTAATGAAGGCTTTTCAAATGGAGGATGTATTTAGAGGTTGTCTGGAGCCTTCATCTTTGTAATGGATATTCATGATTTCTTGTCAGCAAAGTGTGCCTTAAATCACAGTGTTAGATATTACAAAGAAAGACCCAGGAGATGAATAAAGAAAAAGTGAAATACCTGGAAATAATTTAAAGAAGCCAGGAATTTTCTTTTAAAACAAAGTGATCAAAATAATTATCTATAACCCAACATGGAAGACATTGGAGAGAGATCTTCCAAATGACTATGTGAAGTCAATTTTCCTTGTTTCCCTTTCACAATGATTTTTTTTACATGTCTGCAATCTTAATTCTTTTCTAATACATTTTATTTAAATTTGAAATAAGCTTGTTTTACATGTCAATCCCATTTCTCATATCTTCCCTTGCTCCCCTGTTCCTCTTCCAACCCCCATCCCATTCCCTTCCTGCTCCCCAGGGAAGGTGAGGCTTTCCATTGGGGATCTTCAAAGTCTGTCATGTCATTTAGAGTAGGGTTTACGCCCTCCCCATGTCTAGGCTGAGAGAGGATTGCTCTATGTGGAATGGACTCGTATCATATCATATAGGGATATCATATAGGGATAAATACTGATCTATTACCAGAGACACAATGGATTGCCCAGTCCTCCTAATTAACACCCACATTCAGGGGTCTGGGTCGGTCCTATGCCGGTATCCCAGCTATAAGACTAGGGTCCATGCAGTAGGCACAATGCCTCTCTTTAAAGAACAACTTGTATAAAATTCATTTGTCAAATTTTAAAAGTGCTTGTTGTACCCATATTAAGATCTCAGTATGAATTAGCAGAACTCACATAAAGTTAGCCCTGTAGAAATCCAAGCACTCGTGTGGAGAAATGAGAAGCTTAAATATGAGAATCACCAGAAATTCAGGGCCATCTAGCATGTGACTGACTTTGGTGAACAAGAGCTGTCTCAAAGAAGAAGGAAGGTGATGGCTGACATCAGTATTATTATCACACATGTGCATACAGTTACCTGTGTGCAGACACATGAATGTGCTCATAGAGGGACATGAACATGCATATGCACACACACACACACACACACACACACACACACACACACACATTCATAGCTACATGTCCTAACATATATAAAATTAAAAGTGTTTGATGAGAGATGTCATTCTGTAAATATGTTTCTCATACTGGTTAATGAATAAAGCACTGTTGGCCAATAGGAAAGCAAGACAGGCGGGACTTGGAGACAAGGAGGAAAGAGGAAGTATTAAGGAGGAGTCAACATGAAGAGTCTGGAGAGAACAGGATGCCGGCTCTCGGTAAGATGAGACCACGTGGAAATACATAGATTAATAGGAATGGGTTAATAATTAAGACAAAGCTGGCTGACAAGAAACTAGTACCTGGCCAACAGCATTTATATCAAATACAGAGTCTCAGTGTGTTATTTGGGGCTGGCACGGCAGCTGGACAAGATCGGTGGTGGGCGGAAAAACCT